CCTTGAAGGCAGAGTCCCCAGCCGCTTCGGGGCGAGGCGGGGCTGCCTGTGTCTCCTCGCCTTTAGGCAGTCTTTTTCGGGCGATGGAAGCTGATGAACTTGATGATGCCTCTTTCCATAATGTCTGCATGCTTTTTTGCAGGGGAAGGCTATGAAATTGATTGCTTAGCTCAAAAGGGGATGGACTAGACAGCAGGGACATTGTTCTTGGTTGCTGTTTTCTTCTATGAATGATATGTTTCCATAGGTCTTCTTCTAAGGTTCATATACAGCAGGGGTGTCAAATTTGTGGCCCGCGGGTCAGATGCATCATGTGCTGGCCACGCCCACCCCCAGTTTAGCAAAGGAGGGGAAAGTTATGATATGTCATGATGACAATGTGTTATCGCAAGTTTGACACCCCTAATATACAGGGTCATTTCTTTTAGAAGTTGTTTGTTCTTTTATTATGTTCAGTTTGGGTATAGTCTTCTTGCTTAGATTGGAGTTTCTCATTTTGTAGGTTGAGTTTCAGAGTGGTTAGAATTTCTCCTAGATCTGTGATGGTGAACCTATGGCACGTGTACCAAGGTGGCACAGAGAGCCATTTGTGCTGGCATGCAAGCTGCAGGCAAACTTACCTCACTGCACATGCGCACGCCTCACAGCTTATTTTTGACCAGTTTGAGGCCTTTTTCGGCCTCCCAGAGGCTTCAGGAAGGCTTCTGCAGGCTCTTCAGGCTGAAAACTAGGCCCATTTCATCACGTCCTTTTTTGCCTTCTGGGTGCCTGCATGCAAGCGCAAGCATGAAAGCGTGCGAACAATTTTTGGCACAGGAGCCCCAAAAGGTTGGCCACTACTGTCCCAGATCCTATATTTTCTCTTCTAGTATAGATAGTCCTTGATTTATGACCACAATTGAGCCCAAAATTTATGTTTTTAAGTGAGACATTTGTTAAATGAGTTTTATCCCATTTTATGAACTTTCTAGCCACAGTTGTTAAGTGAACCATTGTGGTTGTTAAGTTAGCAACACAGTTGTAAAGTGAATCTGGCTTCCCCATTGATTTTGCTTGTCAAAAGTTTGCAAAAGCTGTTCACATGACCCCAGGACACTGCAACCATCATAAGATCCACATTTTGATCACATGGCCGTAGGGGTGCTGCAATGGTTGTAAGTGTGAAAAATGGTCATAAGTCACTTTTTTCAGTGCAGTTGTAACTTTGAACAGTCACTAAATGAAGTAAGTCGAGGACTACCTGTAATTCATTTAGATTACATTTAGTGCATGTGTAATTTGGGTTTTGTATGGATATAAGTATATACATAGAACGTATCATACAAAGGAGAACAATGTAGTCTCTTTCTTCATAGCTATGTTTTTTTTGCTAGTTCATTTAAGGATTAAAATTTAAAAAGTTTATAAATGTTCAAAATGTAAAAGATTTAACCACGGATTTAGAAAAAATTCTAATGTAAAAAATTAAAATTCTAAAAGTTCATTTAAAAAATAACAGTATGTAAAAGTATGCATTTTGTTATGCATTTCTTTTTGCAGGAAATCTCTGACTGTTTTTTAGGATACAACTTAGATAACATTCCTGGATTTTCTGAGACAAGATTTATTTTTTGTTCCAGCATGCAGGACACAAGTTGTGGGCAGCCTGTCCCTTTCTCTGTAATTATGAAAGAGCCTCATCCTTTTGAGAAGAGCACTTATGTTGGAAACTATGAAAATAATTCTGAGGATTCATCCTGTTATGAACTCTTTTATGATTCCCTATCAGATATACAAGATGGGGACTTTTCACATGAACTATCGGCCTTTCTCAGTGAAGATGAGAAAAACAAAAGCCTTGAACTTGCTCATAAAGCCATTAATTCTGTTGAAGAAGAAGTTAAGCAAGAGTGCTCTTATCTTAACAGTTCTCCAAACTCACCAGAAAACGCCTCTTCTGGGCAAGCCAGAGCACATGACAGTTATCCTTCCAAGAGAAATTGCGCAACCAGGTCCACCTCCTTGTGCCCTTCATCTCAAACTCCATCGGAGCAGCAGGATCAGAATGCACATCCTCAAGAAAAAAATGGTATTTTAAATGTTACTGGCAAACAAGCAAGTGCTTTTCCCCTGCTGCCTGCAAGACCCAGCTTCATTCGAACTCTCAAAAATGCTGAAAGGCACAGTTTAAATGGCCAAAAAGTAAGCCCTAAGTCTAAATCAGTTTTGACAAGTAACGTCCACGTCAAGAATAAGCTATGTGATAAAGCTGCCACTTTGATTGAAGAACTGTCATCTATTTTTCATGAAGCAGCCAAGATGAAAGTCGAAAGTCCAAATGGAAATTCTTCGTCTCCAGATAGTGGCTATCTTTCTCCTAAGAGCAAGCAATTAGCTTTGTCAAACTCTTTAAAGAATTCAGTATTTGAAACAAGTTTAGAAATCACACCAAAAAGTGAGATCCCAGAAGTCGCTCAGGTTAAAGAATGTGTGCTCCAAAGGAAAGAAGACTCTCAGGCTGGTGAGACGGTCTCTCAAAATGAAATTGCAAAAGAAAGTCAGAATCAATTATCTCCCCCTCGATTTATCCAGAAACTGAGGAGTCAAGAGATTCTTGAAGGAAGCAAGGTTCTACTTCAGTGCAGGATTGCTGGAAACCCAGTACCTCAGATCAGGTAAGTTTTGAATATTCATCTTTGAGTAAGTATTCATTGATATACCTTTTGTATAATCTTCCAATTCCTTTCACCTGACACTTTCCATCTGGCACATCTATCAGTGGATCGGTAGGAAAAAAAACACATACGCCCAACAGTTTTATATTCCATTCTTTCAGTTAGATTAGAAATGAAACTTACAAAATTCAGTTCTACCTGGTGGGAAAAGGGAAAAAGTATCCACCTGTGTTATTTTTTTTAAAGTGGTTCCCTAGTGAACTAATAAAAAAAAAAAAAGATTCAGTATTTCAATGACCCATGATAGGAAAACAGACAACCTAGTAATTCAGGATGGAATGGTTGTGGACTATGGTGACTAGAGGTCACAATGTTGACTTGCAACAGTTCATTTAGTGATTATTCAAAGTTGCAACAGCACTTAAGACCATTTTTCACACTTACAACCTTTGTAACATCCCCATGGTCACCTGATCAAAATTCAGATGCTTGGCTACTTGTTCATACTTATGACGGTCGCAGTGTCCCTGGGTCATGTGATCCCATTTTGCAACCTTTTGACAAGCAAAATCAATGGGAGAGCCAGATTCACATAAGATGATGTGTCAGATTGTCGTTATCTCTTGTATTGTGCCTAAGGCGTGTTACCAGCTTATCAACTGCAGTGATTCACTTAACAGCCATGGCAAGAAAGATCGTAAAAATGGGGCGGGGAAATTCACTTAACAAATGTCTCACTTAAAAAGAGAAATTTCGGGCTCAACTGTGGTCGTAAGTTGAGGACTACCTGTATTGCCTGGACAAGATGGGGTGTTTCTACCACAGCACCCAGTAGCCAACTGGAGCAGATTCATTTGCATATAATGAATATGTTGAGCAGCCAGACCACACAGAGTACTATTTATTTTGGCAGAGCAAAGAACCTACTTTGGATAGCAAGAGAGTAGAAACTTTGCAATGGACGGGACAGTTTGAGAGCGCCATTATTATTCCAGTTCTAATGAAATGATGAAGAGACTGTGTTTGTATTGAGGGCAAGGAGGATTGGCAGTTGAGCTTACCTGAACCTGAATGCAATTATACTGTTGTTGGAAGAAATCAGGCTAGCTTACTCGGCTGGGAGAGCAAAATGCAAATCAAATGAAGCTGTGAACCCAGCTGCTGGAGGTCTTTATTTGGGGGTTCAGAAATGATACAAGTAGCAACCTTTCTTACCTGGATAGTTTGTTACTTGGACAAAGTAACCTGATGAGTGCATGGATTTTTATATACTGTAATTCTAGAGCAGGGGTGTCCAACCTTGGCAACTTTAAGACTTGTGGACTTCAACTCCCAGAATTCCTCAGCCAGCTTTCTGGGAGTTGAAGTCCACAAGTCTTAAAGTTGCCAAGGTTGGACACCCCTGCTCTAGAGCTTTGAAATTGAAATATTTTGGATTGTAAAATGTTTCCTGAATGTGTGTGTGAAGATGTGTCAGATTGTCGTTATCTCTTGTATTAAGGAGTTATGTCCTGTCTTTGAAGGCAGATGGGAATATACATTTAAAATAGTATTTTATCTTCCTCTGTTAATCTGCTTTGTAAAGGACTGTGGTATCAGAAGTCTGTTTCTGGATTTGAATAGTTTCCTGAATGAAAACTAAGTATTCATTGGGTTCCCTAGAGGTGTGAATAATGCCTTTAGTGCTATTGCTGATAGAGAGGGACCAGGCATGAATCATTTTCTTATTTTAGGAAAGTTTTCCTCTTTGATAAAGGCATCTTTCTATCCTTAATTTTTTGAAGGGTAAATTCTTTGGGGAGAGAGTGCCTTCTTACACGATATTTACCAGATAGGAAGAAAATTCTGACACTTGGCTACATTATCATATTATAAGAGAATCTAAAAAACCTCTTTGCATTTTAAATCTAAATTTGATAAATAATGAGGATTCTTTTCAGGAGCATCCGGTGTTATTATAGGCTACTTGATATAGTCCATTTGTCTGAATTATATGTGTTAACAGGAATACAATAATGCCAAAGATGAATTCTCCTCCGAACATATGTGTACACAAACTGACAGAGTCTCTGTGTGAGAGAGATAGGGTCAGTATCTCATTTATTCTGAATATTTCTTAAACACTGGCCCAAAATAAATCAGTGGTTTATGTGTGGCAGTTTGATCCACCATTTCTAGCTAATTCTCTTTTACCATTTCAGGTCTTTCTTGATGTTTGGTTTTAATTAAGTTTAAGCTAGAAGTTCTGATTCAAGAAACACTGCTTTATTGAAAGGATCTGTTGGAAGAAAATTTCCTGAGTTTGTCCCCAGCTGGGAAGCAGTCACTGATGCTGAGAAGAAATGACACAGAAGTGAGCTGCCAGAAAGCAGGGTTCTTTCATTCAGGAAGGCAAGAAAAGTAGTGACACAGTTGGAGTATTCCTGGCTTGCAAGCAAATGGGGGGGTATGACTCTGAGCCTTTTATGCTTAATTCCCCTTTGAAGCTCCTGCAGCTTGATGGGTTTTGATATTTTCTGGTTGCCCTGGGTTTTGTTTTCCTGGGTTAATCTAGGTACCAGGTCGTTTGTTTATCCTGTCCTTGGGCTCTAATCCTTTTAGGGGCCAAAAAAAAAAAAAAAAAGGGTGTTTCAGTTTACCTGGGAGAGTCTATTTTTAGCCTGATTTCCCCTTATTTTAATGGCTCTACTTAAGTATTTCTGTGGTCAGCTTTTGTTACTTTTGTAACAACCCTTAGCAGGCTGCTCTGAGTGTTCCTTTCAGCTGGTGCTTAATTTTGTTAAAGGGAAAAGGGCTGACTTGAGTCTCTTGGCACTGTTTTCTGAGGTTTCTGGTGCTGTGGGGTTTTTGGCACTGTCCTTTTGGGGTGTACATCCCCAAATCCCCCATTTTGTGCTAGGGCAAATAATTTTTGCCAATTATTTCACCCTCAGCACAATCCTGGGAAGTGTCTGAGTATACTTGATAGTCATGGTCAATTTGAATTATCGTTAAGAAAAACTGGTTTCCCTTTTCATTGTGTTTTGGAGGGGTGAGACTGCAGGTCTTAAGGCAGCTCAGGCACGGGGGCAGGAATACGATGACAGAGGTAGCAGAAAAGTATCCCTTGGCTCCCAAGAGGGGAGCTTTCAGCCATGAAGGTCTAACACAGTGATCCCCAACCTTTTTGACACCGCGGCCCGGTACCGGCATCAGCTGGGCGCCGCGGCCCGGTACCGGCATCAGCTGGGCGCCACCATCTTTTTTTGATGAAAAAGTGCTTCCAGTGACCTCACCGGAAGCATGTTTTCATCAAAAAAAGATGGCGGCGCCCAGCAAGCCAGCGGCCTGGTAGGAGTTGTTCCGCGGCCCGGTACCGGTCCACGGACCGGTGGTTGGGGACCCCTGGTCTAACAGCCAGGGTAAAAGTTCTGGAAAGAAATTTACAGTGTCTAATTTTCTATGCCAATTATTTTCAGAGGTTTGATGTCACTTTCTGTGAGCTTACAGTCATGTCTGAAGCAAGCACAAGCCCCAAAATGCTTTACAGCCATGGTTTTGCTACAGGCTGCCAATTACAAAGGTTGTTTCTTGAACCTGCCCTACCTCTAACTTTTGTGAGGCCAAACTGAGGTTAGCCAGTATGCAATCCAGGCTATTTATTTTTCAAATTACACACAATGAACTCTGGGACTTCTTCTAATGAGACCACCGTGCAGCATATCCTGCTTTTACTGGGCAACATCAATTGTGAGTCACAATCAGGGCTTGGGGTTTGGAGATCTCTTTTCTGCTAGTTCTTACCTGAGGGGATGCCCCCTCGCCCATGGAATTGGCATAGAGGTATGACTGCTTGGGCCTTAGTGCAACAGACAAAACAAAAAACAAAATTAGGAGAAGCTTTGTGTGGGGATAGGTGAAAGGGATAGCCTCAGTCTAATTCTGAACACTCTGTGTGTGTGTGTGTAGCTGCTTCTGCAAGATAGACAATACAAACATGCTGGACAAATTTTCCTCCCACCAGACCAGTCCAAGATGTTCAGAACTTACTGTGTCAACCACTCCCAAATGCCATCCCTCCATGGGTCCATTTAAAATTTTAACTGATTACAATGCAAATGAAACAAGAAAGGAAACCTTACAATGAATTTCCATCCTCCCCCATTGTCTTTCCAGCTGTCTTCTGGGGATTCAAAATAGTCTTTAGTCTTCACTGGTCAATCTCAGGGTCCTCTCTTTCAAGTCTGTTAGGCTTGACTTGGTGGTAAGGCCAATCAGTCAGGCTTGGGAAGGTCTGCTCCACTCTGGTTGCTGTGATGGATTTCAGGTGGATGGTGGATCCAAACCCAATTCTCTGGCTCAAGTGAATGGAAGGTCTCCTCTGGAGGCAGCATCTGGGTCAGTGTTATCTGCTTCCACAGGTTGCAGAGTCATGTGTGCAGGGCTGAAAGACATGAGAACAAGGCTCCTCCCACCTTTTATGGGTGATCCTCCCAGGAAAGGAGATGGATGATAAGAGATGGAGAGATAGATTGGCGGTGGTAGATAGCTTGTAGGCAGTGTTTGAGGAAGAAAAAAAATCAGTATTGTGGTTATTAAACAGACCAGTTATAACAAAATGGGGACATCACAGTGGAGAAAAAAAACTGGATTCACATGCTTCATAAAAAGGATGGACAGATAAAACCACACAGTAAATGCAAGAATGATTTTTTCCTGTAAATGAACTTAAAATATTCCCTCATAACCTTGGGCTGTTCTTAAAAGTACAGAGGGAAAGAAACTTCACCCTGTTCTGCTGGCCAGGCAAGCTCAGGGTGAAGGCATTTCCATTGCTTAATTCAACATTATTTCTAACAATTTAATTATTATTTTTCTCCTAGGGATCAGAGACATTTAACAGTTTCATTTACCTTGAGAGAACACAAACACTTTGACACACACATATACACACAAAGACAAAAAACAAAACAGAAAAGGACCCTGATCTGGATACCACTATCTGGGACTTTATGGCAAAG